GTAAAAGTAAAAACAAGGAGAAGCTTATTTTCCATCACTACCAAACAAGCACCATCTTTTCAAGCTTAAAATTTAAAACGGATAACGCAATTGATTCTAAATAAGCCTTTATACACTCATCCTACTGTCCCCCTTTCCCTTCCCCCTCACTCAAACATACATACCAAATATCCAGTAGTTTTGGATCAAAAAGCACATTTATAGCTTCACGTGGACTTTCCTGGAGAAATGCTCATCCAAGAAGTTAAGTATTAGACACCTCACATGGTACAGTAAGACTTACAGTGTGGGTCACAAACAGTTCATTCAGATAAGTAGTTGATCTCCAACATCATGTTCTGTCCAAGCCAAAATGCTGACCAAAACCAGTTTTTCTTCATCAAGTCTTAGACTTGATGTACAGCAGAGTACTGAAGTGTAAAGCAATAGAAAGGTTCAGAATAACTAACTAAGTATGATGCAAAATTACTGGAGGGAGGGAGGAAGGGAGGGAACATGGTAATGGTAGGTCAGCATCCCATAGATGAAGTCTCTAATCTAATTCATTGTCTTACATTGCAATAGAAATCCTCAGGGAACAATTGAATGTTACTCTCGCTGAGGAGGGGCCTCTGACTTTCAGGGCAGGAGGAATTCTATCTATATCTATATGAATGAATGGATACATACAGTCATTCTTTCTACATCTGAATCACGGATTAGATGGTTAAAGAGAGGAAAACGAAAAAAGTAGACAAAGTAAATGATTGCCTACTAAACAGAAACACTATGCTAATGGCTGTGGAAACGAGACCTTGATGGCAAAAGGTGAAAAAAAATCAGGAAGGAACCACAAAAGCAATAAATACATTTAAGTAATAATAGATTTATAATACAATTGTTTCCTCATCAAACAGTACTGTGGGTTCAGATGCATTGTATGTCAACAGAGCATACTAATAGTTGTGGTAAACTCAGGATCAGCCTGAATTATGCTGGCAGAAGTGTTTCTCAAGCCACCTGTGCCTAACAGAATAGCCCTGCATCATCTAGGACATCCATACAAAGAAGAAAGACTCTCTGTGTGCTCTCCCTTTTGGATGTCTACTACCCTGGTCAACAGCTTGCATGGAGTAGGGCTTCAGCAAGTTTGAGTAAGATCTATGTGAAAAACTCAATGAAGTGGTATAATAAAAGAAAAATAGCAATGGGGTCAGTTATTGTTATGAGATCACAGGGCAGGTAAGACAATGATAGATCCAGATATCCTTGAGAAGACGAGTAAAGTTTGAAATATCTACATGACTGATGAATGTAAGACTGACCAAATCTAGCACCTGAGGATAAAGAAATCCTAATCCTAAGAAAATCCATGGGGCACAGATTCATCTTCTACTTAGCAACCAGGAAACTGCATACAATGTGAAACACTGGTACATAAACACAGTACACTTTGTATTCATTGCTCATATTTGGATAGAGAGCTGTTTTGTCTCTGTGCAGTCTAATGTGTTAGTTCAATACCAGACCTTATCTGCAAAGAACTAATACTTTATGTACCTCAGTTTTTGGCTAAGCATTTCATCACATCACACACTTCCGAAGCATAGTGTCTTTAAGATATCTGCATAAAAAATTATCTTCTTGAGTTTATTCATGTTGCTGAAGTTTAGTCCTTCAGGAAACTGCCCCTTTTTCTTTATTGTCTTAGAGGATGCGGTCTGTCCCTACTGAACAGAGTTGGAATTCATAGATGGGTGGGGCATGGCCCTGCTACCTTTTGGGTGTATTGTTCTCCAGGGGACAATGTCAACAAGTACATACACGCTCTAGGGACTATAATTATTCTTGATGTCATTGGAGATTGAAGAACAGTATAAAAACTCCTTGCAAGTCTTGGAAAAGATATCAAGATATCACCCTCTGGCCAAGAAAAGTATGCTAGGGTTACATTCCTAGTGGCTGCTCCTCTGAAATCAAATCAAATAAGGGCTGAATGGTAACCAAGGCCTTCTGTTGTCTCCTTACTGAGGTAGATTTCAGCACAAGAGAGTAGCGCCCACAGATCTTCCAAATGCTAGAAGCAGTTCAGTACAGGTTTTGTCTTCCTGAAATTTAATATCAGTTTCTTTCTTTAAAGACTTATGGCATCACAGCCAACATCCCCTTGCTTCCTGATGAAATTCCTCATACACACAGATAAAATTAGAGTAAACCTTTTTTTAAACTCTTTGAATTAGAGACTGACATTTTATGACCTGGATGTGAAGAGTCTACTGCAAAACAGAGTTCTGAACCTGTACTGGAACCTCTAGGCAATGCTGCAAGACAAGCACTAATTACAGAGGTGTCATCTTGTTATCTGAGCAAATGACTGCAACTCCTTCATTTTCCTTCTGGCTCTTGTTCCAACTACCTTTGCTGCCTTCACTAAGCCATTTAACTTAGCTTTATCTCCTCCTACTGCAAACAGAATTTACTTCTCATTTGTTTATTTCCAGGTGCTATATTTGCATGTAATTAATGTTCATTACATACTTTTAGAGAAAATTCAAAGTGGAAGGAGGGGAGAGAGGATAGAGTTTGCTATTCCTGTATTCTCCCTTGGTAACTTTTCTCTTACAACAGCTTTTTTGAAGACATTGACAATCACCAGACCTATTAGGCAAAGCAGTACATTAAATATGCATATATATGCCTATCTCTTTTCAATCCCCCTTTACAGGTAGGCAAACTAAGGCAAGGTTATGGGCCACAAATTCTGAGTCCCAGCTACTGCTTGATTTTAAGATCAATTGACTTCTTTTTCATGGTTTCAAATGAGTTGGTAAAGAGGCTATCAAATGAAAAAAAGAATTATTTCAGTATTTCTTCAGAATTATTTCAGTAATCATAGTACAAGATCCATTTACTAGTTGGATAAATAAAGTTTAATTCTCAAAAGTCAGTATCAGAAGTTAGCATTAAATACATCAAAATTTGAATATTTGAAAAGACAATAGCAAGTTTCAGAATTATGTATTTTACCTTTTTTATTGATTTATTTCCCTCTTAACTTCCCACCACTGCCTCTTCTGTGGCCACAAGATTTTCAAAGTTTCAACCCCTTCTTATTCTTATTGCCACAGCAACTGTTTGCTCATAAAGGCATTCATTTCTTTTATTGCCTTTTTTTTTTTTTTTTTTTTTTGGGGGGGGGGGGGGGGGGGGGGGCAAAGGAAAATGGGAAATGAGAAGAAAATGCTAGATATTCTGTACTGTAATGGTTCCTTTGGTATTTGAATTTTTATTGGCTCTTTAAAAATTTTGGATTATGAGTTTCTTTTCCTGAGGAATAGAATATCACATCAGCAAACGCAGTGAGATTGATACAAATAGTCTAAAGATATTTCACAAGTCCGAAAGAGAAACAGATTCATTAACAGTGGGAAACTGTGCTTTGTGATTTAACTCAGTTATTCAGGTAATAGATGTCACTAGCAAAACTTCTACTTAAATGGCAATAAATTTATAGCTCTATGTAAAAGCAATTTCATGTAGAAGTTCAAGTAGATCTTTCTGAAGTATATGAACATTGAATAGGCGTATAAAAAGTGCTTCAAAATATTTCTGCTCCTGGAACTCCCAGCAAAATATACATGATAAGAGGTAACACATGATATCAATAACTCTAAAACAGTGTCTTACTTTTTAAACCTCAGCTGTTTACAGTCTTTCTGATTTATACTACATACAATACTTGAATATTTTCACACAACCCCACTATGAGAATAACTTTCAGTTTATCAAATGGGAAATCTAAAAGCCAAAACCTGCCCTTGGAATAAAAAACAATACATTCTGATGCCACTTTTTAAGGCCAGATCACATTCCCTCGGGAAAAGATTTTCCCCTGCCGACCCCTAAATAAGAACCAAATTTTAGTGGAGAACACCAGTCAAACCAGGAAGAGATTAAAAATGATTTTTGAGTTTCTCACTGAGCCAAAGTGAAAAACAATTTCACTGTTGTTCCTGTTCAACCTTAGCTAGGTTTAGCCACTCTAAATTTCACGGGGTTCAAAGTAGCATGTTCACTCCAAGCAAAGTTACTCTTAAAAACTTCAGTGGCATCCTTACACTTAAAATGATTACATAACTCCACACGGGGCTATTTCTTTTCTTTTTTTTTCTTTCAATAGTTTGCGTGTGTGGCATGTGGAAGCATGCACAGAGGGGCAAAGTCCCTTGCAAAAAAAAATTAAAAAATAAATAAAAAATTAAAACTCCTCAGGAGCCAACCCAGGGACCACAACTGTCACCTGGCACATTTGTCTAAAGGAGAAAAAAAAAAAAAAAAAAAAAAGGAAAAAAAAAAGTTGTTCAAGTCCGGCCCAGTTTAAAGGTTAGCTAAAAAGCTCCCCCCTTGCCAACGCTGGAAGATTAAGCTCTCCTGCCTTCCAGACTTAAGAGCTAGAACATGGGTGAAGGGACGGGGCTGATCCTCAGCGGCTCTCCCCCCGCCTGGGGAAAAGCGATGCGGAGGGCCCGGCGCGACGCGGCTCGGCTCTCCCGTAAGAAACTCAGAGAGTTTTTTTCCCGGCACAGGCGAAAGGCTCCAGGTCCCCCCGACCTCCCGCCGCCCTCAGGACCCTCACTGGGGGTCACCAGCGTCGTTTCTCAGACCCGGCCCAGCCTCACCTTGTTATCACGGGGGAACTTCAATTGTTCGTGCTGGCGTGGGTTCAAAGTCAGAAAAACTTACGTTCCCTTTGCTGAAAATGCTTTTCGGGACTCAAATGTGCCAGACCCGAGAGGAGAGAGACCGATGGGGGAGTGGGACGGAGCGCCCCTTCCCCCGCGCTCGCCACCCTGATGCCTCCGGCCGGGCTCCCGGCCGCAGGTGAGCCCCGAAGTTACAGCTCCCGGCGCTGCGTGGGACCGGAGCAACACATCCGTCCCACAGAACCAAAAAACAAAAAAGTAAAAGAGCTCCATCCCGTATCCCCCTCCCTTTTCCTCCGCGCACGCAAGCTTTTTTACCTGTTTTTATGCCGTGTTTTTAATAAATTCCTTCCAAAGGGAGCCATGATCCCAGCGGCAGAAGCATAACATCAGCGATCCCCAAACAATTCGAGGGTGTTCCCTTCTCCCCTATATTTTTCCCTGAGCGCCTTCCAGCTTGTTAATAGTCACCGAGCGTAGCGATGAGCTGGAAGTTGTGCAATTTACTGCTAACTTTGAACTCCGGCTTGTTGCTGCTGCTGCACCTTTGGAGTCCTGCCCAGCTGCAGTCTTAAAGGAGGCGTTTTAGGAGCAGAAAAAGAAAGAAGGGGAGGGAGAAGGAGGGGGGGGGGACGGGACACAAGGGAACGCGCACTTGCTGTTGTGATGTGAAGTTATGCACAGAGCTCTCTAAACTTTCAGCCTCATCGCCCCCGGGCACCAGCCAGCAAATGGGAGAGAAGGGGTTTTGCTCCGGTGGGGAACTCTGCAAAAACACACAACAAAAGGATTGAAAACTTTCCCCGGGAGGCTCCAGCCACTTCAGGTCAAGTCGTTCGGCTAAACACCAGCGTTAATGAAGGGCTGGCAACAGTTGCCACACCAGTTCTCAGTACATAATAACGTGCCTTTCAGATCAAGGAGCAGTACCTCTTTACAAGGTGTTGGACAAGTAATAGGAAGATGAAGGGATAAAGTTAGACCTATGTGGCCCCTCTGCTCTCCCTACATTTTGAAGTAAAGTATCTATATGCATGAAAAACTTTGCAAACCTTTTCGTGGCTAATGGGGCCTCCGATAACCTGGTAAGCGTGGCCTAGCAGACAACAAGCGAGGCAGCAGCATGAAAGGTTCAGTTCGTACTTGAACGTTGGAGGTGCTTTCTTGTTATTATTTTGAGCTGGCTTTGCCAAAAGGGAAATTAATGCATGCTACAGTTCCTGTCTGCTGGAACCCTCTGGGAACGAGGGATTTGAAGTAAAGTTTCAGGAGGAAAACAACTTTTTTTTTGTTTTTTTTTTTTTTCCCCTTCACTCCCTTTCTTCAATTTCATTTAGAGCAGGGCATGGGAAGGAGGAACCATTGCACCACAAAGGCTGATGCCGGTAGGTGAGAGTCCTGGAACAGGAAGCCCCCAGCGCAGCGCACTCTAGTCCTCTACTTTGTACAGTTATTTTAGCAGGTACATATTAGATGTAAATTCTTATCTTTCTATTTGTATCATCTTTTATTTATTTATTTATTTATTCCTTTCAGTTTGCTTTTTTCTTCCACATATTACAGAGCAAATTCATTATGTGGCTGACCAAACGTGCAACATAATAAGGTACTGAATTATTAACTGAGGTGATGATGGCGGAGGGGTGGGGAAGAATGGTTGGATAGTACTCGACCAGACTGAGGACTTATCTGAAAAAGGCCTTTTTTTTTCTTTTTTCCTTCTAAAATTCCCCTTTCCTCCCTCAGTCAAGATGTTTAAGCAGACTGAAGAAAACAAAGCAAAGGCCTATTCCATTGGTTACCTATTACTAGCAGTGCTGGGAATGCCCCACATATTTTCAGTTCAGTCCCAAGTCTCTAAATTCTCTGAGCTGTGACTACAAAGAGAAGGACTCTTAAAAAGCCTTGTTTCAGTAATCATCCAAGTAACATAAAAATAAGGAAGCAGAAATTAAACTTTCAGATTTCTCATCTTGCTTCCAGGGCAGATTTTAAGTAGACTGCTTTTGGCATTATGAATATAAGCCCAAACACATTAAGCCTGTAGAAGTCTTTCCTTTTGTTTTCTCAGGTTGCATGTACCATGAAGAGACTTTCTCATATAAAAAGGACAGGGAAATTTTTTCAGTCCCTAACAGAAGTTCAAGGCATACTTGGCATAAAAATCAAATCAGTGTAACATTTCCTGGTGAACAATTAATATTCAAATAAATATTTTTCTCAGCAGAGGTAAAATGAAATAGCTTTATCTGTAGAATAATATTCTTTTTTTCTTTTTCTTTTTTTTTTTTTTTTTTAAATTACAAAAAGAATTGAGAACCTGGCTATATATGTAGTTGTTTTTATTACTCCTGAATAGTCTTCTCACAATTTTAACTTATTGAAATATTAAAATACAATGTAAATTGTTCCTTTTCTACCAGAAGATGCAAAATACTTGAAAACTAAGTTTATCTAATGTGGGAACTGGCTCCCTTTATGCAAGTCAATCATAATGCTGCATTTATGTAGCTATGCAATGAATTGCAAGAGACTCCAGCACTAAGAAGCAGACATTCTCCCCATAGCTGAGGGAGGAGAGGAAGTCACAATTAAGTTAACCAAATCCAGGAATAAAGAGAGTGCCTGTAAGATAAAGGAGAGAATCCTACGAACAAGGAACATTGCTCTTTGAAAACAAAATAAAACAAAACCCAAACCTAAAACCAACAGCAAGAATAACAAAAAAAAAAAAAAAAAAAAAAAAAAAAAAAACCCAAGACATTTAGCAAACCATAAATAAGTGAATACATACTATTTCACTTGGTATTCAATTAATCTATAGAACCCCAGACAAAAGTATCATAAAGAGAAAAAGAACTTACTGATTTTATACAAATACATGTACAAAAACATAAGAAAAAGCAGTAGTAGGGAAATTAACTTCTGTTCTTCAGCACACAAACTAAATGACTGGAGCAGAGAGCAGACAAACTTGTCAGAGGGACAGGTTAATTTTGTAGGCAGTGTTGACACAACAGTTTAGTTAGCTGGCTCTTAAACTTCCAAAGCACCTCAGACGTTCCGCATTTGTATGTACATGTCCTTAGTTTTCTTTAAACTGCAATTCTGATCTTCCAAGAACATTGGGCCAACATTCCAGACCAGGGCCCTTTCCAGCATGCCATAGGGACACACAAAAAAAACAAGAAAGCCACAACTCCACAGCTCAAGTCTTGAGCACAGTTATCTCCTAATCATTCTCTTTTCATGTGAAAAGTAAAAGGCAAATAGCTGGTAACATCCCATTTTTAACCCGTGAGCTGCTCTGCTCAGCCAAATCATATAATATCTTCCCCGTAGGTGAAGTAAGGAATGAATGACAGCCAGTACAGCTTGCAGGTACAGGTTTTTTGTTGTCGGTGGTGGTTGTTGTTGTTTCTTTTTTTTTTTTAGAACACTCCATAAAATGTTTATATAGTGAACTTAAAATCCTAAGAAAGCCCATCCTATCGCTGTTATTTAAAGGAGAAAGGAAAGGAACTGTAGACATTAGAGTATTACTTGCCACCTAGATAGATAATGAACAATAATTTGGATGCAAATCTTTGGTACTTGATCAGAAAGCTTAAAGATAATAAACAAAAAAGTTTATTTTGTCATTTTCCAAAGCAGCTCATAGTAAGTATTTTAATCATTCCTTTGGAAAAAACACTGCAGCATAGAGATATGCAATCTAGTTTTAACCAGAAAGTGCAGGTATAATTTCAGAGAATGCAAAGAGCCAAATTAACTTTTTACATGCAACAAAGTACAGATGTGTTACTGCCCTCCCATTCCCATTCTTTCCTCATACCCACCATTTGGTTCCAGCACCTATCTCACATAGCCTCTGGGACCTCATCCAATCTCCTGGAAAGCTGAAGAAACTCGCTCAAATTATGACCCAGCAACAAGAGTTTGCTCTGTCTGTTTTGGACTGATTGATGCTGTGAGTTGGCTTATCTCTGGATCAAACAAGATCAGTCAGACAGTATGATTTCCAAAGCTGATGAAGGGAGGAGTTGAATCAGAAGCAGGACAAAAAGAAGGAAAGAGATGGAGCCAAGTAAAAGAAGGAATCAAAAAGAAAGGAAAGAATGAGACCTCCCCCTTTGGCTATGTGATAGGACAGCTCGGCAGCAGAGAGCGTTTTAGCATGAAATGACTTCATCTAACCTAATGTCTTGCTGGCCTAAAAAACCGGAGGTCTCTTTCCACTCCCACTGGGCAGACTGCCGACCCTTTCCTTGTGTCAGATCAGGTTGTCAACAAGCTTTGGGCTTACATCATTTTACTTTTCAAATGAATGGAAAACTGATTTGACATGAGAAAGTGAATAAACAGTTTTTTGCTGTGCTAACTAAAGTCACTTACTGAGGTGTCTGGCAGTTGTCAGTAATAGCACACAGGGAGACAAAAAGGATCAAGTTGACAAGAGATGTGGGAAGAGGATTTCCCATCTGAGCAAAGCTGAGCAGCTAGATTGGCTCAGCCACATTGTGAGGCTTGATTCTGACTGCAGCAGTGAGCACCTCCATGGAAGCAGCAAAACTCCCTTAGAAACTAAATAAATTACCCATTCCTTGTTTGAGATTACTATGCATAGTCCGCTTCTAGTACTCTGACAGCCTCATTTTACAACATCATAAATACTTCTGTCTGCTTTAAGTGCAGCCAAGTGTATGAATATGTGACACTAGACTAAATGGTCCAATAGGTTAAGAGGGAAAGCTCAGTGCTGGGATTCTAACTGTTTTAAATGCAGGAAACTGGGTGATGTATCCTCAGAGAGCGCATGGATTTATGCTTTTCAACTTACTTCAGAAAATTTGCAAGAGAGACTCAGAAGACTGATGATAAACTGACAGATAAAAGCCATACTGATGACCTCAGCTCAGTTGGTTAAAGAAATATAACAACTATTTAGGATGAAATCAGGAATGAAGATGAAAAGCTCATTATGATACTGTAAACATTCATTCTGAGCCTACAATTTCAATATTTAAAAAAAATTTTAAATATTTAAAAAAAAATATTTTAAAAAAAATAAAGCAAGTAACCCAACTGAAAAAGAACATAGTATGAGGAAAAGGGGGACAGCTAATGGCAGTGAGAATTTTAAGACACAGATTAATATATGATCAGAAATCCATTAGCAATAACATTTTTCAAATTTAAAAATCTGTGAATATCTGATTACTATGGAAAAAGTCTATATTATGGAGAAGAAAGTAAAAACAGTGATAACTTCTGGTGTAAATACAAGGACCTGCAGAAATAATCAGACAGCAAAGTTAAAATATCTTAGTTGCTCCAAAACTAATGCCACCTATTTATTTCCACAGAAACTACAACAGATATAAAGAGCACAATAACACTATCTGACAGAGCAAATTCTCAGTAACAAAACACTTTTTTTCAACAGTCACCAATATTAGCTACGTATTTTTGCCAGTGATAAACAAGAGCCTGCACCAATGGAGATGACTCACTGTATTACAGCTATTATGGTGGTGGCATTGCTATGAAATGCCACCGCTTGCCGTGCAAAAAACCTTCAGCTCAA